AAATGTTTCTGTAGCACTCGTTTATGTATAGATATATATAGGGATGAATAAAATCAACAATTAATTTCTCTCCATAAACAAAATAACCATATTATCTATCAGACAATAGTTTTTGTTTTATGGAATTTCAGAGGTTATTCCCCTGCAGAAGGAATAAGCGTCAAAATACACAAAACCAGATGCTAATATGTCCTGAGAACAATATAAGAATAATATTACTACTAAAACTAACTATATAAACGTGGGTGGTTATTTTATTGTAAGGAGAAAATTAAGTTACCACCAAATGTTGTTAAGCTTATTAATGTGGACAATCAGAAATACCAGGATATAGTTTATAGTTACCCTTCAAGTCTCAGGTAAATAAAAAGATGACTGCCGATTAATGGGTGGAGTTGAGCTCACACAAAAAGGCGTCTGGACAGGCTAGAGTTGTGTGCCAGATATGTAGTAAAATGGATGGTCAGATGGAAGGGAGTGTCCCGATGGAATGTTCTGATCAGATGACTGTGTTGGATTACTGTGTGTGATATGATTATCTGATCTGATGATATCTCCGATATGATGATCTCCTCCTGTCTACCTGACTTTCCCTTTTATCTATCGGCACACAATACATTCATAAAATTTGAATATACTGGCCTAGGAGGTAGCCTGATATGAGTTCCCTTCCTTTGATTGATGAATTTGTCTCACACCCATTGTTTGTTTTAGTATTACCACCATTTTGCCACTGAGTGTCACTGTAAGATAAGTCCTGACTATTTTGAGTTTCCTTGAGATTGAAGTAACTCTATTATAGGGAAAGATTAATATTCCACTATAACAAAATGGACTTTGTGACAGCTGTATAAATGTCTTGGACGGTAAATTATGTAAAATCTTAACCAAAAAGATTTGTAGTTTTATATATACATATGTGTAAATATACTGATTAAAACTATTTTTATGCACATTTAGGACAGAAAGATACACTATATGTAGAGATCTATATATTCATATGTGAGATGAGGAAACAGCTCTCATTGTTTGAACACTGTTTGTGTGCAGTAAATTATTGTGTGGAGTAAATTGATGTTTTGATTGACATTCTGCGGTTTAGCCACAAGATGTCACTGTTTTTCTAACACAGGCTCAGACTGCATAGATATTTGTATATTCATAAGAGGTGGAGTTTTCATACAGAGAGTTGAGGAAACAGGAAGAGGAGACAGGAGCCATGTTCTGGAGAATGAGGGGGGCTGTGTGAGCTGAGAATCCCTCCATCGACAGAGCTGCAGCTGGGTGAAGCTGATGAGATTGCTGCCAGGAAGCTGATGAGAGCAGAGGAACAGCGCAGCATACACTGCAATATCGCAGGCCTGTTGGAGAGACATTTGTTCTTTTCAGAGTCACCAGCGGATGCAAAGCAGACCCGGGTCAGTAAGATCGCGCACGCACCTCATTTTAGTGTTGGCACCTATAGACTGAGACCAGGCCTAGAGTTAGTTAGGGTCTCTTTTTGTGTCAGGCCACAAGTGTTGTTACTGATTATTGGAAGGACTCTACAACTTAAAGTGACATTTCACATTGGAGAGCTGATAAAATCCTACAAACTCAAGCCAGACTGGCGTTTTGCTAAGAAGGAATACTCAGGCACGTGCTACAGGACCAGTTATGAGAGGGGGAATACTGTAGATTTGTGTAAGATTGTAAGCTGTTGTGCTGCACCACAGGCTAGCCCAGGGGTGGGCAAACTTTTTGACTTGAGGGCCACAATGGGTTCATATATTGGACCCAGGGGCCGGACCAAGAGTAGATGAATGATGTGTATGTGTCATCCATAGTAAGTATAGTAATATTCCCCCATAGTAAGCATAGTAATTAATCCCCCATATAGTAATTCATCCCCCATAGTAATTCATCCCCCATATAGTAATTCATCCCCCATAGTAATTCATCCCCCATATAGTAATTCATCCCCCATAGTAATTCATCCCCCATATAGTAATTCATCCCCCCCAATTAGTAATTCATCCCCCATAGTAATTCATCCCCCATATAGTAATTCATCCCCCATATAGTAATTCATCCCCCATATAGTAATTCATTCCCCATATTAATTCATCCCCCATAGTACTATTCCCCCCCAAGTAGTAAGCCAAGTCCCCCCTGTGTCAATTTACTTACCTTTGCTCCGCGCGTTCCTCTCGCCGTGTTCCCCCGCGCCGTTCCGGTCTTCAGGGCGGACTGTGAGAGGAGCCTAGCTCCCCTCACATTTGTCACGCTGCCCCGCCTACACACATCCTGACAGCCAATGTATCCCGCGCCGTTCCAGTCTTCAGGGCGGACTGAGAAAGGAGCCTAGCTCCCCTCATGTTCGTCACGCTGCCCCGCCTACACACATCCTGACAGCCAATGTATCACGCTCTGCTGGCCGGATTAAAAGGTCCGCCGGGCCGTATACGGCCCGCGGGCCGTAGTTTGCCCATTGCTGGGCTAGCCCATACCATACACCCATACACTGATTCCTGCTCTTTTAGGGTAATAACAGGTAAGGTGTGGCAGCTTATTTGTGCCCGCCAGTAGGTAAATTACTTCACTTTCTACCTACGTCCATCGGAGGGCGCCGTGCTGTGCAGCACAAGGGTCTCAGCCTTTGGGCTGGGTGTATGTAAATGTATTGTATGTTTCCAGCATTTGTGGTTGTGTTTATTTGTCACATCTAAGTAAAATTCTGTTGTGGCAAGAGCTGGTGTTGAGGTTGCTTTCCTCGTTCGTGACTTCACTGTATCCTGGGGAGCCCACCCCGGTACAACGGCTTACACATATCTCCATATAAACCTACTAATTCATGTACTTCACTACTGATTGGTTAGAGATATGGCATCACACATACACTATTTCTAGATAACTTTCCACACATTGAATATAATAGGATTACACATAACAGCCAGTGTTAACATGCAGTATTCCTTTCTTACAATGGGATCTTGGTCTGGATAAACGCTTTTTTATAGATATCTTGCGACATTGTGTTATATTTTTAAATCATGTACTTCTAAACATGTCTGTGATACTTATAATGGTTTTGTCCAGAAAAGGAATTTATTTATGTGGATAGTGTTAAACATATATAAGGTTCAAAGGTTTAACCTCCCAAAACTCTTTTCCATGAGGGGTGTTTGTTTACTCTTCCCAGAGCTAAACAATGGTAGTTCCTGAATGCTCAGAATGCTAATTTGCTGAAGCCAGGTCTATGTGCAAGATGTTCCCACAGTTTACATTTATGGGGCCTAGAAAGGCTGGTAAATATTGCTAATTTTCTTCAGGTGCAGTAGAAGGAGAGAAACCCATTGTTCTTGTTCTGAGGTGCCCTTGTTTTTCTCAATTCTGTATTTGCCAAATAGATACTATGTGTATGACAATCAGATGATTCTCTTCTAGACTTTATGTGGGGAGAGATCCATTGTTCAACAAGATGAGCTCTGTAAAATAGCTTTGTTTGAAAAAAACAAACTATCTCAGTTGGGAACATGATTGTATCCTGTTTGAACTGAGACCTGAAAGTGACTGGATTTTTTGGCCTCTTAAGTGTTAAACAATTATCGTTTGAGTTGGAGAGAATATAAAATATAATTTCTCTCATAGAAATTCTGACACTGGGCACCATATTATCTTTCAAATACTTTTCCATGGTAACCACATCCCACCACAAATTAATCCTTTTGTCCATAGTGTGACATAATTTCCTAAATAAACCAGTGAGACTCGTGTCATTAACACCTTCTACATTGAAAATATATTCCAAATCCACCTGTCTTTGTTCTAAATGTGAAAAAACTTCCATAGCTGCTTCAAACAAGTGTATGAGAAAAAAGAAACACAAAATCAAAATACAGTGAATCTTGCGAGCTGCTATCAATATATAAATCTTAACAATATTGGGAATCGCCCACACTAATCACACTCCCATGTAAATGTGTTTGTAATACAGTGAAGGAAACAAGTATTTGATCCCCTGCTGATTTTTAATGTTTGCCCACTCACAAAGAAATGATCAGTCTAAAAATCGAATGGTAGGTGTATTGTAACACAGAGACAGAATAGCAACAAAAAAATACAAAAGAAATGCATGTCTAACAAATTATGCACTGATTTGCATGTTCATGAGGTAAATAAGTATTTGATCCCCTATCATTCAGCAGCATTTCTGGCTACCAGGTGTCTTTCATACAAGTAACAATCTGAGATTAGAAGCAGTCTCTTAAAGGGTTGAAGATGGCTTATGGATGGGTGTTCCAGCATGACAATGACCCAAAACATACAGCCAAGGCAACAAAAAGAGTGGCTCAAGAAGAAGCACATGAAGGTCCTGTAGTGGTCTAGCCAATATCCAGACCTTAATCCTATTGAAAATCTGTGGAGGGAGCTGAAAGTTTGAGTTGCCAAACGTCAGCCACCAAACCTTAATGACTTAGAGATGATCTGCCAAGAGGAGTGGGCCAAAATCCCTCCTGAGATGTGTGCAAACCTGGTGGCCAACTACAGGAAACGTTTGACCTCTGTGATTGTCAACAAGGGATTTTGTCATGTTTTGTGAAGGGGATCAAATACTTATTTCCCTCATGATCATTTCTTTGTGAGTGGGCAAACATTCAAAATCAGCAGGGGATCAAATACTTATTTCCTTCACTGTATGTCTAACCATCAAAATGCAGCGCTTCACTAAATTAATAAATACTGTATACCAGTGGTCACAAAATGGTGGACCGCGGTCTGAGAACGGACCGAGCAGCGCTCCCGCCCGGATCGTCAGAGTAGAATGACAGATCCACTGCTCAGCAGGGCGGTCATCCTGGCAACCGATAATATCACGCATGCACCCCGCCCCTTGCTGCTCACTGTCTCTCCAGGCTCCTGCTCCCTACCTGTCCACAAGAGCGTACCATTCAGCAATGATCCCGGCAAGCTCCTGCTTCCCGCACCTGTCTGCCCTCAAGGTAGGGTGTGTTCTTTCTGGGGGACCTTGATGGGTAATTTTATATTAAAGAGCACTATGATGAGCACATTTAATGTTAAAGTGTAATGCTGATGGGCACATTTAATGTTAGGGGGCACTCTGATGGCCACAACATAGAATGTGCCCATCAGAGTGCCCCTTAACATTTATTTAATATAAATGTGCTAATCAGAGTGCTCCTTAACATAAAATGGGTCCATCAGAGTGCCCCTTAACATAAAATGTGCCCATCAGCATGCCGCTTGCTTTATGTTAGGGGCACTCTGATGGGCACATTTTATGTTATAGGGGCACTCTGATGGGCACATGTTATGTTAAGGGGGCACATACTGTAGAAAGGGGCACTCTGATGGGCACATGGGATGGAAAGGGGCACTCTGATGGGGAATATGATGGGGTCACTTTGAGTGTAAGGGGGCACTTTGACGGCAATACATGATGTAAGGTGGCAATGTGATGGGGATACCTGATGTAAAGGAGCACTCTGATGGGGACAACTGATGTAAAGGAGCACTCTGATGGGCACACCTGATGTGCTGGGGATACATGATGTAAAGTTGCACTCTGATGGCAACACCTAATGTAAGGGGGTATGCTGATGAGCACACCCTAAGTAAGGTGTCACTGTGATGGGGAAACCTTATATAATGGGGCACTCTAATGGGGACAACTGATGTAAGAGGTCACACTGATGGGAGACACCAAATGTAAGGGGGCCTTCTGATGCAGAAACCTGATGTAAGGACACTCTGATGGGAAGGTCTAATGTAAGGGGGCACTCTGATGGAAATGCCTGATGTAAGGGGGCACTCTGATGGGAATGCCTGATGTAAGGGGACACTCTGATGGGAACGGCTGATGTATGGGGGCACTCTGATGGGCATGCCTGATATGGGAGGTACTTTGACGGTGGCAACTGATTTATGGGGGAAGTCTGATGGTGTCACTTTAATAAGGGGACAAGCTGGCATTCCTTGTGCAAAGTATCATCATGGCGCTAAGTGCATGGCACTTTAAACACGGTAACAAGGGAACATCTCAACATCCTCTAATCATTTCTCCTCTGCTCCTACAGGTAACCACTGCTTCCATTGCCCTCTGAAACTTCCTGCTCTGCCTGCAACTGACATCTGCCTTCCTGTTGCACTTGGTAACCACTGCTTCCATTGCCCCCTGAAACTTCCTGCTCTGCCTGCAGCTGACGTCTGCCTTCCTGTTGCCCTTGGTAACCACTGCTTCCATTGCCCTCTGAAGCTTCCTGCTCTGCCTGCAACTAAAATCTGCCTTCCTGTTGCCCTTGGTAACCACTGCTTTCATTGCTCTCTCAATCGCTAAGCTACTTTGTATGCCTGAAAAAAAAAATCTAACAAAGCAGATAATTTCAAGCATGCAGATTTTTTTTTTTGTAACTACTGTATATACTTGCCTGTATTAAGTGAACTTAGCCTCATAGCGCCTTAGCTGAGATCAAATACCTTGCCTTATCTTGTGTCCATCCTGTTTGCAATCTGTTAAGGGCAGAACATATCCCCCATGTGTCATTTATTAGCTCTTATTTAAACAATTGCCTAACCCCCCCCATCCATCCAAGTATAAATATAGTACAGTCCTTGGGACGGCTGGTGAGGGGACAGGCTGGCATTCCTTGTGCAAAGTATCATTACGGTGCTAAGCACATGGCACTTTAAACATGGCAACATCTCAACATCCTCTCATCATTTCTCCTCTGCTCCTACAGGTAACCACTGCTTCCATTGCCCTCTAAAACTTCCTGCTCTGCCTGCAACTGACATCTGCCTTCCTGTTGCCCTTGGTAACCACTGCTTCCATTGCTCTCTCAATCGCTAAGCTACTTTGCATGCCTGAAATTATCTGCTTTGTTAGTTTTTTTTTTGTAACTACTGTGTATACTTGCTTGCAAAGTATCATTACGGTGCTAAGTGTATGACACTTTAAATACGGCACTTTGACTAAGGCAAGTACAAGCATTAATGCTCCACCTCAAGTAGACTGCAAGTGCTCTTCTCTCTCTTACCTCTTTCTGTCAGCCTTCTTTGTTACTTCTCCTCTCTCCAGCATGTTCTTGCTAACTCTCTTTGTTGCTATAATGCCCTCTCTTCTCAAACTCTCTCTTGTTTACCTCTCCTCCCCACCCCACAACCTGTACATATCACCTTCACTTCTGCCCTCTCAATATCATTGCACTTATCTCCTGCTCTCTCTTTGTCCACATAATGTCACCACTACAAAATCACTGCTGCATTTGCCCTCATATAAATCTCGCTCCCACCTCACCTCCCTCACCCTCCTATAGTAATAGGAGTAGTTAACTTCCGGAGACATCGCCCCAAACACTGGCCCTCTACCATCAAGCTCCAACCTACAGAAGCAGCAGCCTCCCCTCTCTGGCTGCAGCCACAACCCTCACTCTCTTATCTCAATTCCCCTGCTTCTACAATGCTGGCCCCTTCCTCCTATGTGCCCTCTGGAATGCCCGCTCAGCCTCTAACAAGCTCTCTACTATCAATAGCCTCTTCCTCTCCCAAAACCTACTTGCTAGTATTGAAACCTGGCTCCAAGATTCTGACTGTCTCCTCAGCTGCACTCTCCTATGGTGGCCTCCTCTAGACTCACTTGTCCAGACCCAGTGGATGAAAAAGGGGGAGGAATCAGACTTCTTTCCCCACAAAGCACGTTCCAGGTTCTTCCTGCCCCTCTGTCTCTGTCCCTCTGCTCTTTTGAAGTGCACTGTATTCGTGTCTTTTCTCCTGTTTGTCTGAGGATCGCAGTCATCTACCTGCCCCCAAGCCCAGTTTCACGCTTTCTTGATGACTTTTCAGCATGGCTACCGTACTTCCTCTCCTCTGAGGTGCCTGCCATCATCCTCAGTGATTTTAACATCCCAGTCAATGTTCACACCTCTGCTACCTCTTAACCTACTCAACCTAACTTTCTCTTGGTCACAATCCACCACCCACTCCAATGGCAACACCCTTGACCTTGTATTCACCCACCTATGCACTCCCTGTAACTAACACCCCTTTTCCTCTCTCTGATCACAACTTTATCAGCTTCACACTCTCCCTGCCTCCTACCTCCCATGCCTCCAACCAGCAAACCGTCACCTGTAAAAACCTCCACCACCTCAGCCCTGACCTTCTTCACTCTGGTACTGAGCACCTCTATGATAAAATTGCACCCCTGTCCTGCCCAAAGCTGGCCACATCTGCCTACAACTATCTATCATCCTCCCTGGATGCTCTTGCTCCTCTCTCTACACCAGGCCTCGCCTGTCACAACCCTGGCAAACAGATGACACCAGAAGTCTCAAGAGACACAGCCGCACTCTTGAGAGAGCATGGCATAAAACTAAATCCCTGAAAGGCTTTACCCTCTACAAATTCTCTCTTCTCAAATACAACTCCAGCCTCCACACTGCTACGCATACCTACTACAACACTCTTCAAGACCCTCTCATCCAATCCTCGTCAACTCTTCTCTTAATTCCTTACTCCACCCCCCACTGCCTCCACCCACCAACTTACTGCACAGGAGATTGCCAGTCATTTCAAGAAGAAGATCAATATAATTCGTGATGAGATCTCCAGTGTCAAGCTGCCTGCTCCAACCAACATACCAGGCCCAACACCACACTCAAACACTCTCCTCCTTTGACCCTGTTACCACCAAGGAAGTTACCGAACTCTTTTCCAAGGCCCACTTCACCACCTGTCCCCTTGATTCTGTCCCCTCTCAACTGTTGCAGCCTCCTTCCTGCTCTATCCTAAACTCTCTAACCCACATCTTCTCTCCATGGGCACCTTTCTCTCTCCTCTCAAACATGCACTGGTTACCCTCATTCTCAAAAAACCCTCGCTGGACCCCACCTGTTTGAATAACTTAAGACCCATCTCCCTGCTCCCGTTTGCCTCCAAGCTTCTCAAGTGCCTTGTTCACAACCGTATGAACTGCTACTTCACCGACAACAACCTTCTTGATCCCCGACAGTCTGGCTTCCGCCCACAACATTCTTCAGAAACTGCTCTACTAAAACTCACTAACGACCTACTAACTGCTAAAACCAATGGCCATTACTCCATACTCATACTCCTTGACCTTTCCGCTGCCTTTGACACAGTCAACCACCCTCTCTTCCTCAGTAAACTCCACTCCATCGGCCTCCATGACTCTGCTCTCTCCTGGTTCTCCTATTAGCTTTCTCAGTGCACTTTCAGTGTCACATACAACTCCTCCGCTCCTTGTTCTGTCCTTGGGCCTCTCCTTTTCTCTTTTTACACCTCCTCCTTGGGCCAACTGATAACCTCCCATGGCTTCCAATACCACCTCGATGCTGATGACACCCAGATCTATCTCTCCACTCCCCAGCTCACCCCCTCAATCTCCTCCCATATCACAAATCTACTAAGCGACATATCAGCATGGATGTCACACCACTACCTTAAACTCAATCTTTCCAAAACCTAGCATGTAATATTTCCTCCTCCCCGATCCCCCACTTATGACTTTACCATTAAGATTAACAGCACAACCATTGGCCCTTCCCCTCATGCCAGGGTGCTGGCTAAATCCTGCCTCCTCAACCTCCGGAACATTTCCAAAATCAGCCCCTTTCTGACCAATGACACCACAAAACAACTTATCCACACCTTGGTTTTATCCCGCCTTGATTACTGCAACTCCCTCCACACTGGTCTACCGGTACACAGGCTATCCCCACTTCAGTCTATTATGAATACTGCTGCTAGACTCATACAACTTACCAACCGATCAGCAACTGCTGCCCCTCTCTGCCAATCCCTTCACTGACTTCCACTAACTAAAATTCAAAATACTAACCACAGCTTACAAAGCCATCCACAACACTTCCCCCAGCTACATCGCCAACATCATCCGCAGATACCGACCAAATTGCCCACTCCGCTCCTCTAAGATATCTTCCACTCTAGCTCCCTCATCACCTTCTCCTACACTTGCCTCCAGGACTTCTCCAGAGCCTCTCCCATCCTCTGGAACTCCCTACCACAGTATGTCCGGTCAGCCCCCACCCTGTCTGCCTTTAGGCAATCTTTGAAAACTAACTTATTCAGGGAAGCCTACCCCACCTCCACCTAAGAACTGTACTTGAATCACCTCCACCAGATCATCCCCCGCAGCTATCACATTTTGTATCACCTCCCCCTTCTTTTAGATTGTAAGCTCCACGAGTAGGGCCCTCATATTCCTACTGGACTGAAATGTATTGTAATTGTACTGTCTCCCTTATATTGTAAAGCACTGTGCAAACTGTTGCCGCTATATATAAATCCTGTATAATAATAATAAGTTACTCTGGAGGGGGAACCTTATGTAAGGGAGAACACTAATGGGGACATTTATTTTCAGACCTTGGCCAGAAGAACATTTTAGCGACCAGACCTCCTTGAATTTTAATTCAATACCCCTGCTATATACCATACCTCAAAATGTGATGCTAGTGCATTATATAATCAACACCATAA